TAATCAGCACATCTTGATTGCATATTTGGTCAATTTCAGACTGAAGTTGGTAAAAATCTTCAATTTCCTCATCTTTGGCTTTGGTGGTTGGTGCACAAATTTGAGTAATAGTAGTATTAATTGGCTTTCCTTGTAGGTGTATGCATATTATCCTATCACTGACAGCACTGTACTTCAGGATAGATCTTGAAACATTCTCTGTGATGATGAATGCCACTCCTTTCCTCTTCAATTTGTCATTGCCAGCATGTTGTTGTTGTTGTTATTTGCCATCGAGTCGGCCCCGACTCATAGCGACCCCTCCTTGGGTTTCCGAGGCAGTACGGAAGTAGGATTGCCCAACCTTCAGTAGATCATATTGTTGCCTGATTCAAAATGGACAAAACTGGTCCATTTCAGCTCACTAATGCCTAGGATACCAATCGTTATGCGTTCCATTTCATTTTTGACAATTTCCCTAGATTCATACATCATACATTCTGTGTTCTGATTATTAATGGATGTTTCCAGCTGTTTCTCCTCAGTTTGAGTCCTGCCACGTCAGCAAAAGGAGGCCCCGAAAGCTTTACTTTATCCATATAATTAAGGTTGGTTCTACTCGGATGAGGTAGCTCTTTTCCAGTCCTATTTTGAGTGGCTTCCGACCTGAGGGGCTCATCTTCCAGCACTCTATCGGAGAATATTTCAGGGCTATTTATAAAGTAGTGCAGTAACGTTATCAGTGTTTCTCTGCTATTCATAAGGTTTTCCGTGGCCAATTCTTTGAGAAGTGGATGGCCTCTTCCTTCTTCTGAGTCTGTCTCAGTCTGGAAGCTCCACTGAAACCTGTCCACCATGGGCAACCCTGCTGGCCTTTGAAATACTGGTGGTACAGCCTCCAGACTCACAGCAACAAGCTAGCCACCACAGTAGGACAAAGTGGCAGACAAGTTCATCTCCCTTAGCTGTTCAAGCCTCTCCATGCACTTCCTGGCTTTCTCCCTACCTGTTCCCACTGTCGGCCCTGGTTTCTTCCAGCTTCCTGCCTCAGTAGGGGCTCTCCTTCCCCTTACCTGAATTCTGCTGGCCTTTGGCCCTGGCTTCCTTCCACTGAATGAGGGTGGGTACCAAATTACTATAACACATAGATTTCATAGGCCACATTTGATAGTGATAAATGAGTTTTATTTTAAAATATTTACACTGTACCAAAAATGATGTATTTGCAGCTCATGATGAGGAATAATGGGTCAACTTAAAAATATGCTAAGAGGGAAAACAGTTTTTCAAAATTGCTCTAACATTTTTTAAATGTTAAGCTAAAGTTAAATTTCTAAATGTAGACCATACTGCCTTGGAATGAACACAAAGTCTCTTTCACATCAGTATGTCCTTTTACAACTTTTTTGTTTATCGGTAAGGTAATAAAACATAAGCACTAAAAATCAGGAAACAATTTAGTCTAAGGTTTTCCTATTTGGGCATCAGGCAATTTTTTTTTAAATTTTTATTGTGATTTGGGTGAAAGTTTACAGAACAAATTCATCTTACAGCAGTTCACACACAACTGTTTCATGGCATTGATTGTAATCTCCCACAATGCAACAGCTCCCCTCCCACTTCTTTCCCATAGCCACCTGTTCCCTGTGTCCTCCCTTGCCACCCCCCACTGTCTGTCTCCCTGTGCTTACACAGCCCTTCTATTCTCCCATGATTGATCTCTCCAAGGATTCTGGTAGTGTAGTGCCTAAGGCATCTGACTGTGGAAGGCTGGCAGTTCAAACTCACCAGCCACTCCTCGGAAGATTGGTCAATATACTTCCGTAGAGACGCTGCCTCAGAAACCCAAAGTGGGGTCGCTATGAGTCAGATCAACTTGACGACAGCTGAGTAGAATGTAAATGTTCACCTCATACACCTGTCTTTTGTTTGGCTGGAAGCAGCAGGAATGGATTCAGTTCCAGACCTGAAGGGCAGCTAGGGGCCATAGTCTCAGGTTCCACCAGG